ATGGAATTCATACCACTTTTCATGTGTGTTATTTACGAAAGTTCATGGGGGAAGTTCCCGACATGATTCCACTTTCGGAGTTGAGAATCGATGAGACAAAAGGTTGATTGAAGAACCAGAGGCAATTGTTGACCGAAAGACTAAGAAGTTGCGACGCAAGATGGTCGAGTTAGTGCTTGTCCGATGGAAACACACGAATGGGCCAAATCTCACCTAGGAGACGGAGAGTGACATGATGGGTCGCTATCCGCATTTGTTTGTTGAGGTGTGATTCCAGGGACGGAATCATTCTAAGGTGGGGAGAATTGTAACGCCTGTGTTTCTGGGCTTGCCATTTTTAGCAATGTAATGGTCTAGGTTAACCTTTGTAACCCGTTTTGAAATAATAGAAGTGTATTATTTGAGTATTATGTGTTTTGTGCTTAATTGCTTAATTATGTGGTTTGATTAATTAAGAATAAAAATAAGCGTCAAAATTTAAGTGTAAAATAAACTAGATATCTTTATATAATGTTGTAGTAGTTGAAACAAGGTTTCTGAAGATATAAAGAATGCCGAAATCCGAGTTATAACGAAGAAGTTATGACCTGTCGAAGTTTCGCGACAGAACCGGCACGACCCAGCGCGATGTAAATAGTGAATTTAAGGTAGATAGATATCTATCCTTAGTGATCTAAATGAGAATTGAAGATCTCATCGATAGTAGTGCAGCGACGGAAAGACGGACGGAATCGGAGTTCAGATGAAGGAGTTATGAATTTCGAACGGAGTTTTCCTGTCCCGGCCTGCTAAAAATAATATATAAGTAATACACTTATAATATATTAAAAACAAAGTTAAAATTAGCCAATTGAGTCTAAACGAGAGTTGTAGATCATGGTCTCACCTTCGCGGTGATATAAAGAACGTCGAAAACGGAGTTCGTATGCGAAAGTTATGAATTTCTAAAGTTCGGGGCGCGAAACCCCAAAACTGTCAGAGACCACGACGTGGCAAGCAGTGCCACGATGTGGCAAGTGTCCTAACACCTCCGGGAGGCCCCCAGATGCAACTTGGGATGACGCATGCAGTGACGACCAAGCCCACGACGTGGAAAAAGGTTGCCACGACGTGGCAAGGGCCAAATTTGCCCTATAAATAGATTTGAAGGGCCAGCCGTTTAGGGTTGCTATTTTCTCTCTTCTCTCTCCCGTTTTACCTCGATTTGCGTGCTAGAAGTACCCCGAAGCCCTGGTAATATTCCCGAGTCTCGAAGCAAGTCCCGAGATCCCGAAGATCCCGAGAAGTGCGGTTTCCGAGTCGAAGCTCTGCCCGCGAGAAGTTCGATTTTTGTAGAGATCTTCCAGATCTGCTGCGGATTACTACTTTTGCAAGCCGTAGTGCTGTCTGATCAACTTCTGATCAAGTGAGTGTATACTACCTTTCATAAACGCAATAATAATACAAGTATGGTTTGAGTGTATTAAGTATATTGTTGTTTATACGTGTGAGTGCGTTGTTACTTTCTCCTAACGTATAATTATTAAGTATTTTATACGAGACACGTGTTATGTGTATATTTTGTTGTTATGTGTGTGAATGTATATTCACTTTCTTCTATCTTACAGATCTGATTATTTCTATATGAAATACGTGTTATGTGTGTGTGCGCCTCATCTGTTATATGGAAAATGTATTGATCAAGCATGCTATACAGGTTTTGAAAATATGTATAAAAATGTATGTTTTTATCTACTAATATGTTGGGTAGAACATGGGTAGATAGTTGGTGTGTAATAAACAGATGAGAGGCCTCGTTGTTGTTTTGATCCAGTCATCTAGCAGACTTTAGATGACGACCACGGACTTTTCTAGACAGTCCAATGGAATGCTAGCAGGCTCATAACCTGTAGGTGTTAATGAACTTGGGTGTTCATTCGCTGTATTCCATCCCTCTCATGGTTGCCTTATTTGACTTATATTGCTGAGGAACCCCCGCAGCATGTGTTGTCACCCCGATGAAAATATTCTTAGATCAGGTCCCTTGTGTTAGTTATTTTAGGAACATAAAGTGAAAATAGCGGGAATGGGTAACTGGGTTATTGTTGGTTGATAATAATTAATTTAATTATTTATTGTGGGTTGAAAACCCTTTATGCTCACCAGGCTCCCAAGCCTGACCCACTCAGTTTTATTTGTATTACAGGAAGTGGCGCAAGGGCGTAAGATGGATGAACCATCAAGTTGTTTTGTTTACAAGTCTGTATATGTATATATTTGTTGAATGACTTGTAATGTTATCGTTTATGCTTATTGGTCTATATCGGAACATGACACCCCGAGTTTTGATTATATAATGAAAAATACATTTCTTTTATGAAATGCTTTGGTAAACATTGTTTTATCATGTTTTGTTTTTGGGAGCAAATTCCGCAATTCTTTAAATCAAATGGATTTACTCTGAAATTATTTTAAAAGCATAAATGAAAATCGGTCTTTTCTGGCCGAGATTTTGGGGATGTCACAATTACCTAGGATGAAGATATAACGTGTGGAATCATTATGCAAGTCCTATTTCGTTGATGATTCCGAGACATAATCATCCTAAGGGGGAGATAATTGTAACGCCCGTAGATCCGGGCTAGTCAATTTAGAGACGATAGGCATCAAAAATGAATTTTTGATGAAAGATTATTTAGAATGAATAATCTTAACTAAGTTATAGTATATGTTACAAGGATTCCGTACATATAAAGAACGCCGAAATCCGAGTTATAACGAAGACGTTATGACCTGTCGAAGTTTCGCGACAGAACTGGCACGACACAACGCTACATAGGAAGTGAATTTACATTAGAGTGATATTTAGCCTTAGCAATCTAAATGAAAGTCATAGAATACGTTAAACCATGAGTGTGCATAAAAAGAACGCCCAAATCTAACTTCGTATGAGGAAGTTATGATTTTTCGAAGTTTCGACTTAGCAGTATGCAACCCGAATGCTCGATTTGAGACCGAGCGGTTTTTAGCCGAAACAATCTAAATGAGAATTGAAGATCTCATTAATTGTAGTAAAACGATAAAAAGATAGGCGAAAACGGATGTCTGATGAAGAAGTTATGATTTTATAACAGAGTTTTCCTATCCCGGCCTACTAAGAATAAATAATAAAAAAAATCAAAATTAGCCGACGGAGTCTAAATGAAAGTTGTAGAGGATGGTCTGACCTACACGTGGATATAAAGAACGTTGAAAACGGAGCTCGTATGCAAAAGTTACGCAATTTAGAAGCTCGTCGAGTCAAATTACGCCCAACGTTCTCAGAGGGGTGCAACTTGTCTGACCAATACTCGAGTGCCCCCAATTGATGCATGCAGTGACGTCAAAGTACGCCCAGCGTAACCTAATTACGCCCAGCGTACTGAGTACGCCCAGCATAATTAGAAATTACGCCCAACGTAATCCCAGACCCAACAGCCTATAAATAGAACTCGAGATCAACCATTTTCCTTGCGATTTTTCTTCCTTTCTCTCTAAGTTTTGTATCGTTTTGCATGCCAATAATATCCCGAAGCCCCAGTTTCATTCCCAATCCCCGAAGCAAGTCTCGAGGCCCCGAAGATCCCGAGAAGTGCGATTCCCGAGCCGAAGCTCTGCCCGCGAGGAGCCCGGTTTTTGTGAAGATCTTCCAGATCTACCGAAGAATATTACTTCTACAAGTCGTAGGGTTGTCCGATCATCTTCTAATCAAGTGAGTGTGTAGTTACTTTCTTCTAACGCATAATTATGAAGTATTTTATATGAAATACGTGTTATGTGTATATATATTGTTGTTTATATGTATGAGTGTGTGGTTACTCTCTTCTAAACACATAAATATAAAGTATTAGCTATGAAATACGTGTTATGCGTTATATATTAATTGTCTATATGAGATGGGCTTGGAATTGATGTTTTTATATGGGTGTTAAATGATTTAAACTATATATGTAATTTATATCTACAAATATGTTGGGTAGAACATGGGTAGATGAAATAGTTGATGTGTGTTGAACGAATGTGATAAGAGAAAGGTGAGGATATAACGGTGATGATAATTAGGTGATGAGAAACAGGTGATGATAATTAGGTGATGAGAAATAGGTGATGATAATTAGGTAATGATAAATAGGTGATGTGAGATGAGAGGAGATACCATAACCTTGACCGGCGATGCGGAAATTTGGCGATGTAGTCATCTACCAGAGTATAAATGGTGACCACGGACTATTCTAGATGACCCCGTGGAAACACCAGCAGGCTCATAACCTGTAGGTGATGAATTACGAGTCCAGGCGATGTTGTGGCTACGTATTCATGCGATGATACTCTAACCCTTACTATGAATTACGAGTCCAGGCGATGTTGTGGCTATGTATTCATGCGATGATAGTCTAACCCTTACTATGACTTACTAGTCTAGGCGATGTTGTGACTACGTATTCATGTGATGATCCTTAGGAACTAACATACAAGGAAATGTGATGTAAGGAGATGAGAGGTAAATACGATGTAGGAGATGACCCTTAGGATAATTCCTTAGGGAAGGTACTTAAGAAATAAATGGAGATAACGGGGATGGGTAATTGGGTTGATTGTTTGATGATTGAATATAATAATTATATTATTGTGGGTTGAAAACCCTATATGCTCACCAGGCTCCCAAGCCTGACCCACTCAGTTTAATTGTATCACAGGTATCGATACGAAGCTGCTTTGCACTGAGAGATTAAAGGATATGTAAATCATTAGTGTAATTGAATGTAAGTTCTGTTTATGCTTATATGTCTGTATCGGAACATGACATCTCGAGGTTTTATTATTAATTGAAAATACATTCTCTTTGAGAAATGTTTTGATAAGTTATTATCATATCTTGTTTTGGGAACAAATTCCACAACCGTTTTCTTTAAAAGATTACTCTGATTTTATAAAACAAAGCATAAACAAATCGGTCTTTTCTGGCCGTGAAAATGGGGATGTCACACTGAAAGCTTCATAATTTGTGCAAACTGCCTCTTAGTAAGCTTATACTTCTTTTCATTTGTCAATTGAAACGTCACCACTTTGGTTATCTTGTTGAACACAAGAGTTGAACCAACCAAGGATAACCAAGTCATAGGTACTGAGAATGCAGAACTCATAACCATTGAGAGAACAAAGTGTTTGAGAGCAACAATCAACATCTTTAATTCTCTTGGGTACTTCAAAACATCACATTGAACACATAAGTTTGAGCTTTGAATCTTCATTAAAGGTTGAGAAGCTGTGTCTTCTATGGTGGTGTTTGTTGGATCAACATAACCAATTGGTGCCGCCATTGGTAGGATTTTAGAGAATTCTGTGGAGAGATGAGTATAAGGAAAGAAGATTTAGGGGAAAACTAGACCAGATTGCATAAAGTCACTACTTTAGTCCACCAAAATCCTTGTATACTAAACATAAAATTTTAATTTGAATCGTTCACCAATAAAATTCGCCCACATGTTGTCTTGGATAGTGTTCCATTTTCTAGAAAAGTCGCCATGTCTGAAAAGTAATGATCATTTGTTCCTAGTAAATCATGAAAGAAGTAATCTGTCACATCCACCGAATATTTCGGTTGCACTAAGAAGATAAGAACTGTCACTTGACCTTCGTTATGACATTTGAAACCTTCGTCATCAAGAAGATAAGAACTGTCTCTTAACCTTCATCTTAGGTACTTCTTTCCATTGTTTTACTGATGGAGTTGATTGTATTGATGATGTACTACCATTTTGTGACTCGTTCAAGTAGCTTTTGTAAGCATCCGCCATTTGATTTTCAGAATACATTCCTAATTGGTATAGTTTCCCTTTTCCTTAGATCCAATGATTTATTTTCTTCACATCGGTTTTCCCTATGACAAACGATGCTTTGACTTTCTGCTTCAATTCTGGATTTGGAAAGTGAGGATGTGATGGATTAAACAATTCACTTTCTTTGGTTCACTTTTGTTTCCTTTTACTTCCAACTTATCAAGATTTCTCTTTAGAAAAGATTGTTTTGGAAAAGATGGATTTGGAGAATTGTGAAAACGTTTTTTTTATAATGTTTGTTATAACCAACCAATGTTTGAGTAAAAGTATTTTGTTGTTGTGGAAAACTTCTTTGACCTAGAGATTGATGAAAATTTCTTTGTTAATTACGTTGAAAAACATTTTTTTGAAAATGGTTTTGTGAAAACCTTTCATTAGGAACAAAATTCCTTGGTCGTTGGTTTTTAACACAATGTTCATTTCATTGTTTTTAAAAAATCAGTGTTTGAACTGGTTTTTGAACTTTAGATTGATTCTTTGAAAAATCATTTTCTTTTGAATGGGTTTCTTTTGATCAAAAGTATTATTTTGAGAAAACATCTTAACTTGTTAAAAACACCTTACTATTTAGAAACCTTTTGAACATTCTCATTGACAATTTGTGCTTTTGTTTTCTGATTTTTCGAAATCGATTCATTTGTTTCTTTTGTTTGATTGTCAACTGTTGATTTATCTACTTTAAATTCCCAAACATGTTTAGGTTTTTGCCTTTCAAAAGTCGTGGAGTTCTTGTTTACGGTATTTTCGACGGTTCTTTGCTTTGAGAAAAACCCTTGTTTTGTTGCTATTTTGTTGTCTTCATCAACAAGTTTTTTGATATCATGATTAACTTTGTCACCATTTCAAGAGGTAACATACACTTGATTAGGAAACCCAACTTCATCAGTGCATTTGAAATTTAGATAGAAAATTGAATTAGATTCAAGATAATGAGGACCTTTTTCTTGCATCACTTTTTTGAACTATTTTGTTTCTTCATAAACTTGTTCGATAACAACTCGGGGAACAATTGTGTCAATTAGAACATCATCTTCATAACTATCAATCTGACTATCTTCGACAATCACATGGTCATAGTCATGAACATTTGATGTAGAGGGTTGGTCAGTGTTGACCTTCTCCATTGAATCATAACAAATTTCTTTTCCCTTGGACATGGAAGTGACATTAATGAAAGACAATTGAAAATAGTCTATTGTTTACTCTTCCTCAATCTCACTGATATGGTCATAATTATCATCAGCAAAATTTTGTTAAGATTCCAAAGTAGAAGTCTCAGTTACATTTAAAATTTCGATTTGTTCAGTCTTAGTCCAAGTCTCATTCACAATATGGACTAATTCACTAACCTTCAAACATTCATCTATTCTAACTATCCCATAAGCCTACAAATCACTGGGGACTTTATCGAATCAGAGATTTTCTTCTCATAATCGTAGGAAGTTGTATCGATTTTCTGTCTTTCGTTACAATAGAAAAGGCAATAACTTCCTATGTTGTTCTTTGCTTATGTCAACTGAATGATGAAGATCAATTAGTTTAGCATAAAATCTTTTTGAACTATTACAATAGATACTACTTTGTTTCACCAACAAAATATTATCTGATCTAACATTATTCCTATATTAAGTAATGTTGTAGTTTTAGCTCTAGACTATCTATATGACATCTCTTAGATTCCAAACGTTTCTATGATTCTAGCAACAAAGATTTTGTCCTTTCAGCCTCACTACTAACAGAAATAAGCACGTCATTAACATGAAAGATAGTATCATCAAAATCATATAAAACATCATGATAAGAACTTGAAGGTATATCAAAAGATTCAATAAGAGAATGTACCTTCGATGTCATAGGATATTAGTATGCTCCGGTAGACACGAAACATTTTCTAGTGATCTTCTCCTCATCAGAACTTCCCTATTCAAAACGATCATACTTTGCTCAATGAGTGGGGTTTCACATTTCCTCATCATCGGAACCAGAAGACCAAATCTGGTAAGTTCCGTCCCCATCAGCATCTCTCTTCGCAATGAGAGACGATCCCTTCGTCGTTGCTCTTACTTCCTCCAACCTCTCAATATAATATGCCTCATCTTTCACTCTTTATTTCTTCTCCTCTCTCTTCCTTAGCATACAATCAACTGCCAGATGGTTCGCACCATTGTAGTAATTGCAGTCAAAGCCAGAATATCCTTTTAGTTTCTTTTCGACCTTATAAGCAAATGTCTTGCTCTCCATCTTCTCTACATTCAAATCTTCTCTCGTTCCTTTCCCAAATGAAAATTTTCCCTTGAATTCGTTGTTGTTCTTGTACTTAGGATTAAAAGGCTTTTGAAGAACTTCTTCACTTTGTTGTTGGAATAATACACTAGAGCCTCATCCTTTGAATTCACATTAAAACCTTCGTTATCAGAATCAACCTTGTTAACTACTTTGTTCTCAGACTCTTTTCCTGAGACCTTTGACATCAAAGCAAGAGGGCCACCCAAATTCATCTTCCCCGTTTCAGCTCTCTTATTGATTTCGTTCTCATGAACTTTAAGAACATTATAAAGATATCCAAATGAATAGCCATCAATGCTTTGATGTGTCTTGATCATTAAGCTGATGTTTCTCCATTACTCTCAAAGTCCCATCATGAACATGATATTGTATTTAGGTGTGAAACAAATGACTCCATAACGATTATATTTAAAGATCAACTGACTGAGATGATTGTAGTAGTTTTCAATTGTATCACCTTCCTTATTCTTGAATTCCCCAAGTTCTAACAAGCACTGCTTCACTGAGATCTTCTTTGTTTTCTCATTCCCTTGATACTTCTCCGTCAATGTATCGTAGATCTCTTTCGCCGTCTTGCAACCTCAGATGTAATTTTAAACGAATGGTGTAAGAGCACCACGAAGTTCAAGTGAACACCTTTTATCATTCAGTTTTTTTATCTACTTGCACTACAACATCACTTGAAGAACCAGAAATTCTAATATGTTTTAGCCTTCCTGGATGATAATTACCACTTGTAACACATCGCCATAGATCCTTGTCTATTCCATTGAGGTAATCCGCCATGCGATCTGCCCATTGCTCATAGAACCCTGGGATAAGCATTGGAATCTTAGTGGAAGATCCAAGCAGATGAGAATAACTAGTCATCGTGTACATGTTGAAATTCGCCATTGTTGTATGAACAAAATTGATGAAATGATTCATAAAATGAAATCTAATAGAAGATTCTTTCAAAAAACATATCAGAGTACACAAGATTTATCGAACTAAACATAAAGTTGAAACAAATCAGTTGATTAGAACCATTTTTGTTAATCAAAGTGCATAAATCTATTGAATTGGAAATAGAAATTCAAGACTTTTGAAAGAACGAGAAAACCATAAACGAATAATTTAATCATGCTCTGATACCAAATGTATTGCATATGAAATGGGTATTAAGAATGGAATCAAAGTACAAAAGGAATTAAGAACAGTGATGTAAATAGAATCTGTTTGGCTCTTTGATCGCGCCAAAGTGAATACCGGAGTATAGAAAGAGTAAAGTGCTCTAGCTCACAAAAGTTCACAAAGTTACTCTCGACATCCTATATATTCCCTATTTATACGGACATACAGATGCATACAAAAAAATATAATTACTAGACATGATAACTTTGACCTTTAACATTTCCTTACGTAATACATACATTGAAAATAAAATACACTGACTTTGAAACTAACCAGTTCTAACTGTACTTCGACACCTCACTATAAACTTCGAACCCTACATAAAGTTCTATATGAATGGGAAAATATGCGCCTTCAAATCTAGGTGAAAAAAGGTATCATTCTAGTTAATGAACATGATTATGAGGAAACACTTTCGTTGACAGATTTTAAGGATCTAATAAACATCAACATGGATATTGATTGTGTTAATTGGATTCTCAAATTCACAATATGAATACGACATCCCTCTTCGTATTTTGAATTGTGTGGAATGACAAGGAATTGTTTAAACTTTCAGGAGATATGTTTAACACGTCTTGAAAGAGGTTGAATACATATATTATCCAGATAATGTGGATAAGCTTAAGAAGCCTACTTAGAGGCTTGACCAAGAATCGCGAAATTGGAATTTTAACTTCCATGAGAAAGTCAAAATGTATTAATTTTTATATGTCTACTTGATTCCCGAGTACTTGTCAAAGCTAATGGGAGCATAATTGTTATGCCTGGTATTGCATGTTAACAATACTATCGATAACGAACAATGTCTCTAATGTACAAGTTGCAAAAGTTGGGAACTGTTACAGTATAGTTGATGTGACAACCCTATATTTTTCCAAAGCAATGTAACACTCAAAAGTCTAATACAATGAAACTATTTGGAATCAACAGAATTAACCTCAAAAATAAAATATTCAAAATCTAAAGTTGGGATGCATCAAATGATAGATATTGTGCCAAGGTTTCCAAAAACATAAAGA